AAAAGTCAACTGAACTTTGACTAGGCATAACTTTCTCATACTTTGTCCATTTGGCGCCAACAGAATCCCATATTGAAGAGAATCCAATTCTCTACAATCCATATTTTATCTTCAAGTTTAAGAAGTGCACCATTTGAAAGATGCAAGCTCATACATTACATGTCATTTTCAAAAAGTCAACAAAAGACACTTTTTGTCCAGACCTTTTATATCAAGATAACATCTTCAAATGCAAAAATGATCAAAAGAGAGATTGAAGTAGACATATTGAGATTTCCAAAAAATATAATATCATCTCCTTGGGATAAATATTGAGCAAGTTATGGTTTTCCCAAGTTGGGAAAATTTTGGAAAATTCAAAAATTCTACATCGAGCAAAGTTGAGTTTTCAAAGCATTGACTCATTTCTTTGAGTTTTAAACTTCTCCATGGAATATTATCGGATCCATAAGCTCTTCCCCTTGTGGTCTTACTTTTTATCCATTTATTTTCCATTAATTTGGATTTATTTTCAATAAAACATGAAATAAATGATTTAAATAACAAAGGGAGGTGTATAGCACAAATGAGCTTGGAATTATCTTGCACAAGGGACCAAGCCATGCATAAAATAATGTCCAAGTTAATCCCCTTCAAGAAATGGCGCAAAAGTCATTTTGGGCAAGTTTTCAAATTTTGTATTATGGTTCTTTAAAACATCAATTTGGCAAGTTTTTGAATATTATATCAATACTTCATTACAAGGCATTATGGCATGGATTTTGCATTCAAGACCATTCATTCCTTCCCTCTTATATATATTGGACCATTTGCAAGCAAAGAAAAAAGAAGAAAAAAAGACACTTACCACGCTACAAAAGCCCTCTCTCAAACTCTCCATTTTCATAAATTCGTCAAAAATTTGCAACCGCACTTACAAGATGTTTCGTGGCAAACTAACACTATAGTCATTCTCTCAGCATTCCCAAAAATTGATTGAGGCCATCCCTAGGCCCTTGCACGACTAAGAACACTACATATCCGAACCTGTGTATTTGGTAAAAATTTTAATTCGAATTTCATTTATCTGTACATTTTAATGCCTTGGTTTGTTTGAATATTGCACAGGACCTAAAACTATGAGGTTTGGGCGTGAGAATCACAAGGTTTGAGCCTGAAATCCAATCGTGCCATAGCTAGGACACGATCTGCATTTCGTGCTCATAGCGCAGGATACATGCCCATTTATTTTATTTTTTTGTTCTATTCTTTATGTTTTATTTCTTCTTTTGATTTTATTTTTACTAATTAACCTTAAAACCAAAAAATCACAAAAATAATATATATTTTTAAATAGATCATTAATTAATTAGTTAATATTTTCCTAAAGTAATGATTAAGTAGAACTATGTTTTATATTTCATAATTCTTATTTTCTTTAATATTCAAAAATTAAAAAAATATTAATTAGGTTTATTTTATGTTATTAATTAGACTTTAATTTCTTCTTTCGTAAATTAAAAACCAAACAAAAAAACATGCCTTTTCTTTTCTTAAAACTAATTCAAAAAACATCAAAAAGTTTCCTTTACGCATTTTCCTATTTCGCGCGCATTTTCTTCTTTCGAACTTTTATATTCCTATACATATCAATGTAACCGAACTATAAGACATTTTTATTGTTTTCCTTTATATTTCTCCCGGTTTTAGACTTGTAATTAAATCCCTCTTCCCGAAGCCATTTAATAGCGTAGAAATTTACGTTTTCGCACTTTATATTTTTGTACATATATTAATTGTTAGATGTATGACTAATAGAATTGCATGAACAAGATAAAACCAATCGCTAGAAAACTAAATACAAAGACTAATATATCTGAAATGAAATACACTTGCACCCCTATGGTATCACCACTTCGGCTGCCTTCGGTAAACAATCATGAAGCATAGGGAGTTTTAATGGTCACCTCCATGTCCAAAAAAGATCAAAATGACCCATTCGAATGTTGCCCCGGAAAGATCTTTCTGACTTTAGGGTAATTACTAAAGTTTCCTAACCATTGCTTTTGTGACCATAAAAACGTCCCTTTCGATTGTTCCTTAAACTCCAACGATGAGACTACCTACTCCTTAATAGTAGGATAACGCTATCTAAAGGAAATGAGAAAAAATGAACAACCTTTTTTTCGAGTAGGTAGATAGTTCCTAGGTACTTGCTCAAAAATCTCAAAATCTTTTCACACAAACACTTTCAAAACAGTTTTCAAAAATAACTTCGTCACACTCTTGAGGACAGAAACAAGAGTTATCACGAAGTAAAACAATTTTTTTTTCCAAAACACACGCACAAAGCAATTTCAAAATGAGCAAAGTGCTTAAGAGCCCGTGGAAAACCACGGATAGAAAGAGTGCTAATACCTTCCATTTCTATAATCACCTTCCTTACTCAGAAAACTCTCGAAAAAGTTTTTTTCTATTCTTTTTTTATCTTTCCTTTATTAGATAAAATAAAAGACGGTGACGACTCTTGCTTACCGCACATTTGCGAATGTAAACGTAAAATTAATATTAACAGTCGATTATGCCACCGTATTACACTTATCAAATGCGATAAATAAAAACTTTTGGATTAAAAGTGATTGACAAGACTTTTTAAATTAGGCACAACCGTAATGCAATAGAAAGTTTAATAAATGTTGAAAGATGGTGGATTTGAGATTTCTCATGCACATTTTTTTTTTTGTTTTAAAATAAACTTTGTTGAAAATGAGGAAGAGAGAAAGTCTACAACAATATCACTCAAAATGTGTTTGAAGATATACTTTCATAAATTTTAGGAAAATACTCCCTCCGGTCTCATTTATAAGAAAAAATTAACTTTTTATATATATTGAATAAGTAATGTATTTGGACAATATATTGTCCAAATACATTACTTATTTAATGTATCTAAAAAGTTAATTTTTTCTTATAAATGAGACCGGAGGGAGTACATTCGTCTGTACTAATTTATGCCAAATGACAATCCATTTACGAAATGTTGTGGTGTGAATTTTTGATTTGGAAGTGCATATTTGACCGGTATTTTTTATTTTTCAAAAGCTCATAGTGTTATATATATCTTATTTTTACTTTTATTTTTTGCAAAAAAAAAAAGATTATTATTAATTTCTGTCGACAAAAAAAGTCCAATATTTGTAGTCTTCTCTAACATTGCGAAATGGTACTATCCTGCAACACAGAGAAACAACGAGAGTGACCGCCGCTGCAAGGGAATAACGACAAGGTCAAGAGGTATGATCAATTTTCCCGATTCACTTTCTACGATTCTCCGATTCACTTTTAGATTTAGAGTTGGTTTTGGAGGTGCAAATCTGAGAATCTAGTATGCATCTCTCTGATCTTTCGTTTACGAATAGCTTTTTGCGTATAATCGATTTTGACCTGACGAAGAAGAACTTGCTTTGGTTGGAATCGATTTGAAGAGGAACGATCAGTTGTAGCGGAGATCCAAACACCGTTCTAATTGTTCTGAATTGCGTTAACCTAGCGAATTTTGTCTTCCTCCATTTCGGTTAATATTCGATTAATGCATAAAACAGTTTATAATTTGGTAATGCTATTCTTCTTTTTCTTCTTCTTTCATATGTATAATTGTGCTAGCTGTGAAGACCTATTAGACTAGATATAGTTATGATTAGGAATTATATGAGAGATATGTTTTTCTTTCATATGTATAATTGTGCTAGTTGTGCAGACCTATTAGCCATAGCACCGACACCTTTGGGAAAAGGTGTGGCCGTGTAAGTGTCTAAAACGGACAACACCGACACTTGTGATTCCGTTTAATTTATTCATTTTTTCCAATTATTACTGGTGTCGACGTGTCAGTGTAATGATTAGGAATTATGGTAGAGAGAGAGAGAGTGAGAGTTGGGTAGCACATATTGAAGAAAAGATGATTGAATTTCACTTAGGTGGTGTGGGCATGTGTGAAGTAGACAAATAGATTATGTGGTAAGAGAATAGTAGATCAGATGGAGGGTGGCCTGATTACTAAAGGCAATAGAAGACCTAGAAAAATTGTAGAAGAAAGAAACTATCATGAAAAACTAAGAGGTCAATGATTTGTATAGAGATATGTTCTATGATAGAGTATTATGACGTTATTTGATTCAAGTAGCGGACTCCACCTAGTGAATTAAGACATGGATGTTGTTGTGTGCACGGGGAATGGTAGTGTTCTGTTTTAGTTATTATTTAGGTTTCAGTCTCAACTGTATGAGTCGAGTAGAATGGTGATTATTGTATTTAGGAAAACATGGTTTGTATTTTTTTTTTTTTTTGGATTTTAAGACCTAATTAGCTACAAAAGAAGCCTTTGTAGGAAACGTTTCTGACAATTCTTATATCTTTCTTTTGAGCTTTCTGTTTTTGTTATTCCATTCCATTGGGTTAGTTGCAGTTTGATCCCTCTATTTTATTTGTATACCATTTCGGTTACCCTTTTTCTAAATCCACAAATTTGGCCCCTCCACAATTTTAGTTTAATTTATCAGAAACTGACATAGGTATCCATCCATATAAACTTATTCATGTACTGCATAAGCATCTCACTTGCCACAGCGTCAAAATTCTGCCCAAATTTTACAGGTGAGCAAAATGCCACATTTAAAAAAAGTTAGGGACCAAAATCATGGATGGGGCAAAATATGAGGAACAAAAGTGTGATTAAGCTTATTAGTTTTTTTTTTTTTAAATTTTTAAACTGTTTTATTGCCTATAGCTTAATGCATATAATGACGCCTTATTGTTTTTCAATATCTTGTAATTTTTCCTAAAGAATTCGGATGATTCATTTCCAGTTACAATCAAGTGAGTCCTTTACATTCATTTATATGCAGTTGGGTTCTAATTTATCTGTTATCTGTATTTATGCATTGCAGTTATAGTCACCGGTTTGCTAATACAACAAGTTAATCTTATATCTTTGTGGAATGTGGACACATTGAAGGCTCAATATGGGAGTTTTTGACGAGTTACCTTTGCCCCCTGAAAAAGCGGTAAGCTATGACTAGATTAGTAATTTTGGTTTTTGACAATAGATTAGTAAACTTTTTGGATGTAGGGTTTTTTTACAATTGTTTCATGCTCTTCAATTTTATTGTCTTTTGGGCTTTACTTCTGTAGTAGTGCTCATAAAAGGCTGAAATATGTGTACATTTGAGTCTTTGTTCTCCATTTGAATGCAGTATCTGAGAGAAGAAATATCTAGGATAGATGAGACTTGGACTGCTGCTCGTTTTGATTCTTTACCTCATGTTGTTCATATTTTGACATCAAAAGACCGCGAAGCTGCTGCCCAATTTTTGAAGGAGCAGAGTGATGTTATTGAGGAGGTTGTGGATGAAGTTGTACAATCTTATCATAGTGGTTTCAACAGAGCTATCCAAAACTATTCCCAGGTTGCTTAAAATTTCATATTCCGTGATTAATTTAATGAGTATGCATTGGACCAAGGGTAGTGAGGTCATTTTCTATTGTAAATTTGTAATATGGGGTCTTTGATTTCGTGTTCACGGGTAGATTTATTGTTACATTGTAGATTTTTTTCCTCTCCTTTGCATTATTGTGCTGTCAAGATTAGATCGTTGTCATAGAAGCTGCCTACTTTGTGCGATACTTTTACACTTTTTCACCATCTCTCTTTTTCTTCAATTAAATAGTTATAATTCAAGGAAAAAGTAAGTTCTTTTCTTGTTCATAATAGTAAATTACTAGGCTAGCAGATAGGAAACACGGGGCCTTGGCTCTCTTTCAGGCATTTGTGGTTATGCTTATGCATTTTTTTAATCTTCGTTCTGCGGATCATGTCTGTTCCCCCCTATTGGAAAGGTCCCAAGTCCACATTGATTAGAGACAAAGCTTGAAAAGACTTTATATAGTGACACCCCTCACCTTACAAGCCGATCTTGTAAGGATGAGTTAGACCAAACTCTAATATGGTATCACAGCCTAGCGATTGGACCATGGGCCGCCTACCGTTTATATCCATGCACCAAGCCCAATAGAGTGTTGGGCGTGATGGGGTGTATTGGGAAGATCCTAAGTCCCACATTGGTTAGAGATAGAGTTTGAGAAGACTTTATATAGAATAACACCCCTCACCTTACAAGCCGGTTCTGGAAGGATGAATTAAGCCAAACTTTAATATCCCCCAAATGTATTATATTATGTAATAATGTAATACCATTGCATTTTTCTTTTATTGCTTTTTTTCTGAATAATTGATCTAATCTTTTTATTGATTTTGTGTAATCTTCATTATTACAATATAAAGGTACTTATGTTATGATGTCTTATGTGATGAAATACAAGGCCAGCATATAGGAAACAAAGAAACAATATTAGTTTGGTGTTCTCGCCTTTTATAAAATTAAAGTTGTGATGGATATTTTATGTCGATATTTAATTTAACAAAATCTAATTAAACTATAATCAAAGCTGTTTTTGGTTACTATTATCTGTTAGAACTTTAATTGGTTCCAAATTACAACGATAGCTGGATTTCAGAAGCCACTTCCCCCCTTTCATCTTGTTTAAATCTTGGATGTTGCTTAATTAGAACTGTCCCTTCTTTATAAGTTGCAGTTTTCTAAATATTTTGTTTAATTATCTCCAGATCTTGAGGCTTTTTAGTGAATCCACTGAAAGTATAGGCGTCTTAAAGGTAGATTTAGCAGAGGCCAAGAAGCATCTTAGTGCTCGCAATAAACAGTTGCATCAATTATGGTATCGATCGGTCACATTGCGACACATAATCTCCTTATTGGATCAAATTGAAGACATTGCTAAGGTCTGTTCTTTTAGTTTAGACATTGCTTTATCTAATTGTATGACTTTGGTCAGTTGATTGGAGTAAAGGAGTCTCTCAACCTGCATTTAAAATCATGCTAGTTGGTCTGGCTTTATATGCCCCTGAGTTGGATTTGTTTAGGCTACTTAGGCATTTTATATTCTAGAATAAATAGTTATATGGATTTACTTGATTGCATTTGCCGTTTCATCATTCTGAGTGTTCCTTCAATTACAAAAGCAGAAGTAGTCATGTAGACTTTGCCATCTATTTGATTTTTTAGTGGTTTTCTATTGTCAAAGAGCCACTTGATCATAAAACTTAATTTGTTCAGTCAAAGAACAAGAGGAGTTTGCTTTAAACATGACAACTTGTGTAAAAGCTCATTGGGATTGGAGTGTAGATAAAATAGAGGCCAATTATTATTTGCTTCTGAAAATAAGTATTATTTGAAATTCTAATTTTAAGATTGGTGAATGATGACCTGAATGCTCGAGCTCTCTAATAAGACCCTACAATATGGGTAAAAAAAATACTCTTGATATTATCTGCATAAATATGCATACATTTTTGTGTACCTTTGTTTATGAACATTTCTTCTGATGATCATCAATTTAGCACATGCTTTCTTTTAACTAACTCTGTTTAAAACTGTTACTATTTTATAGAGGGTTTTGATTCTGATCATCTAAGTTGCAGGTTCCAGCTCGTATTGAGAAACTCATAGCAGAGAAGCAATATTATGCTGCAGTTCAATTGCATGTGCAATCCATCATGATGCTTGAGCGAGGTCTCCAAACTGTAGGTTTTCAACTTACTATACCATTATCCTATTTTCAGCATGTTTTGCGTGGAGGTTTTTTTTGGTTATATGTTGTATTCTTGTGTTTGTTCTTTGGTCTGAACAGTTTTTTGTACAAAGAAAATAGGAATGTGCATGTAAGGGGAGGGTAAGGATGCTGTATCTTGAATCCAGAGAAAAGAGTCCAAAAGGCTAATAATACTCACAAGTGTAAAACAAAACTTTTGCATCTCTCTGCATATTAGAAATGTATTTTCTCTTAAAATTACCATAACTTTGAGAGCAAAACACTAATGAGAGTCAGTGATCTTAACCATCTCTAGCATATGGAAGTGGAAAGACTGTTATAAAATTTCCACTTGTTTATTCTGTATTGAACTTGTATAGTATGTGACTGATCTACATCCCTTCTCTAGGTTATTGTTGCTTGAAAACACACTTCTCCATCATTTTTCATATTTTTCCATTTCTCTAATCATCTCTATGAACATTTCTCTGTGTTTTTTGTATGTGATAATTATGTTTGATGTATGGCCCAGGTTGGGGCACTTCAAGATGTCCGTTCTGAATTAACGAAGTTGCGTGGAGTCCTCTTTTATAAGATTTTGGAGGATTTACATGCACATTTATACAACAAAGGTGAATATAGGTATTTGTTTTTACATTCTTATCTCTTACTTAGAACATCTGTAAGATATTGGAGTATGTTTTGGTTTTGCAAAGGCATTTAGAGTATATGCTTCTGAAATGCAATTTTAGCTTTGGCTTATCCGTGCTTCATATATTTCCCTTGACACCCTATTCTCATGCAAACCTTGAAGCTCTACTTTGCTTTTTTGTTAATTTATCTTCTATTCTGTTTGCATTTGTTTCTACGGGATTTAATATCACGGCATTTAAATGTACAGCAAACTTTTGATCTGTCTGCCAGTTTCATGAAGTTGTGAAGTTTATTTATTTTGTGAACTGATGAATATGTATTTGAACTGTCATGTGTGCAGCGTTGGAGGCTCAACGATGCTGGAGAATGATGACGATGTTCCCACCACCACTTATGTTGCACTTACTGCACATAGTTCTCAATCTCGGTCTCGAAGAACAAAGTCACTGAAAGGTGACAATCAGACTAGCCTCCAGATTGATGGGTAATACTGGTCAATTGAACTTTTGAACTTTTGACTGTCCTGTGTGATAAAGCTTGATTGTTGCTGTACATATTCGCGTGTAGTTTGGATTGTGCTTGCGGAATATAGTATATTAAATACCATCAAATGTGTGTTTCAGCTCTTTTGATGGCCATGATGAGGAAGGCACTCTGGATTCAAGTGAAGAAGCCACTTTAGATGGGAATATGGCAAACATGAGAGTCAATGGAAGTGATGTCTCAAAGGATGCAAGTGGTGCTTTTCGTCAAATGCCAACATGGCTTTCGAATTCGACACCTGATGAATTTCTTGTATGAGCCACTTAGTTATATAGTCTGTCTTAAATTAATATCCATAATCCTTCTCAAACTTTTGTCAATTTTCAGTCTTCCAACTGAAGTTCCGAGTTTCTTGTGCAGGAAATAATTAGAAAGAGTGATGCTCCACTTCATGTGAAATATCTTCAGACCATGGTTGAGTGTCTTTGTATGCTCGGAAAAGTGTCAGCTGCTGGTGCTATGATTTGGTCAGTTGTCTTAATAGTATTTTATTCTTTTTGATAAAACTCTATGCTTCTTTATCTCTTTGAAGGTTTTGATTTTTTTTTATTCAATAAGCTTCTTCTCTATACACTAATTTTCACACGAGGGTTGCTAGCTTGATCTTGACTCTTGAGAGTAAGTTGTGAGAATTTTTTCTAATTATGATGTTGATAATTTTGCATAAAATAAATACAGTTGAAAATTATACTAATTGGGATCAATTTGACACAAGAAATAATTTTGAAGTGTTAAGATGAAAAATTGAATGAAAATATTGGCAATTGAAGCTCAAAAAGATGAAATTGTGGGATAAAATAGTGTGTAAAATTTATGTGATTAAAGAGATGAGATTGTGAGATAAAAATTGAATATATATTTTAAATGATCAAATAATTTATTGTGGACAGATTTATAAAAACAAATGGTAAGTTTTGACCAGAAACGTTGCTTCAACACATAATGGCACTCCAGCGTGGAATACTCCAATAGTAAATTGACCAGAATTTTAGTTTGCCGCTTACAAATCTGCCCACGAGCCTCCTGTTGGAGGTGGCCTTATTTTTCTATAGTGCAGTGAACTCTGGATGCCTGGAAGCAAGTGAATCCTCCTGAACAAGAAAAACATGTTGTAATGACAACTTGAACTAACTATTAGTGATATATTCTAAAATTGTTATGATTATCATGTTGCTGAAACGAATCATGATATTTGAGATGTGATATTATTTTCTTCTATAATTTCTTTCTCGTTACTATCATTTGTGTTTTCTAGGCGTGGTTGTCGTGTAGGTCTTACCGCATTTCATTATTATTGATTTTTTATATATTTGATTGTGATGATAATTTGTTATACTGGCTTTATTGTTTACCAGCCAAAGATTACGGCCAACAATTCATGAAACCATTACTTCCAAGATTAAAGCCCATGCAGACCTTTTGAATTCATCAAGGTCTAGCATTGGTCAGGGTTCCCGAACTGGAACAGGTGATCTACACTTCATTAAAGGTCAACTGGAAAGCTACCAGTTGCCAAAACAGAAACGTAAGAATGGAATATCTATAGCTGGGACTCTGTTGGCTGTGAGCCCTGTTTCCCCTCTCATGGCTCCTGGTGGGAAAGCACAAGTTGCTGCAAAAGAGCTTCTTGATTCAATTTTGGACGCTGTTGTTCGAATATTTGGTTAGTCACAATAATTTTATTATGCATTCTTCTTTCTAGGTTAATGGGTTTCTAGGTTAATGGGACGCTTAATGTTACAGCGAAGAGAATGTTCATATAAATAAACGGTCGCACAAAAGTAAGATTGGATTATGAATAAAAGCGCTAGGGAGCAAGTTGGGTCAGCACCTATTGTAGACAAGACAGTTGAGTTCTTGTGTTGATGGTTTGACAATGTGTGATAGAGAAGAGCTGTAGTATTAGAGATATACATTTACATCTTAAGTTTGCACTGTCTTTAGTGTGGGCTGCTTCCCCAATCGTACTTGGGCTTCAAGCCCATTAGTTTCTGTTGAAACAGAATTGCTACAGCTAACTATGTATAAACAGATTGCTACATTGTAATCAACTCAGTTGAGACGCATTGTTGTTCATAATATAAAAACTATTTTGAAATGCTCAGTTTTCATTAATTTCAGAGAAATGATTACAGTTTATATAGAGACCTAATTCTGTGCACTATGCACAGGTTAAGTGTAACAGAATTTGGAATATTCCCTCTGACCAACTCTAATACTGTGCTACAGTGCACAGGTTAAAACTAACAGATTCTAGAACATTCCTCATCTAACTCTAATCATGTGGACAGGTGCACAAGTTAAAACTAGCAGATTCTAGAACAATCTACAATCCTCAACTGACACTAATCCTGTGCTCAGGTTCACTGGTTAGACCTAATTGAAAACTAGCTGTTATGGACAGCTGGCAGCGCAAGAACTTAATCAGTTGCTATCTGATATACTCTAATACACATCAATCAGATTACTCTCTTTCATGCACTTCCCATATTTTTGAACACATAAAAGCAAGGTGAGGAGGCTAATACTAAACCAGATAGAGAACAGTCAAATAATTGAAGGTAAAGAGAGACTGTTGTGCAAAATGGGGTGCAGGTGTACACAGTCAAAAACAAGTTATAGAGTGCTAAATAGAGATTGTTCTCATGAGGATTGTGATAGAAACCACCTGATATAGAATAGAAAATAGGGAAAATCCCTTGAATTACAGAATAGTACCGCGGAACTTCGAGGGTCTGCACCTCCCAATGCCAAAATGACCCCTTTTCCTATCCAATTCCCAGATGATCAACTCTCAAATGTCTTCCCCTATTTATTCTACACCTAAACACACTTAATTAATAGTATAATAATTATAATAATTACCCACTAACTCTCCTAATAATTTAATAACAGTTAAAGAGTCTAACAATACTCCGCCCCTAAAGATTCACCTTGTCCTCAAGGTGAAAGAATGTATCCTCCCGGATCCCATAACTTGAAGTAGAAGGATTGAGTTGTACATGAAATATGAAAAATTCCTCCTGAATCAAATTTGCTTGCTGCCAGCAGCCCTCTGGTGAACGGTTGTTGGGATGTTGGCAATACCGACAGTGGAGCTTTCTTGTTCCTAAAATTTACCTTAGAAATAGCAGCAAACACCATGTGAAACCCGATGTCTGGTGATTTCGACAGTGGTAGATGTTGGTCTAACAATTCTGGTGGTGGCCACTTATTTGGTTCTTCATTCTCTATTGAATCAAATTCTGGCTCAAATTTCTTGAGAATTTCCTCTTTAAATTTTCTCCAAGTGGCACTTGGATAGGCCAAAATCCATAATTGGTACCATGTGACGGCTTTACCACTCATCCACTGCGCAACTCTTGGAATTTGATCTTCTTCTTTACATACACCTCCTGCCTCAAAATATTTCTCAACCTTGATCATCCATCCAACAACATCCATTCCTTCAAAGAATTGGTATTTCTATTTGTTACTCTGAGTTCTCTTCTCCAATCTCTAATTTCTTTCAACACTTCATCAACAAGGTCAAACATTCCTTCCATTCTTGATGGCAACTCCATTTTTTTTAATGTTCTTTTTATTTCCTCTCCCGGATCAGAAGTGCTCTAATACCAGTGCAAACCCTCCCAATGCCAAAATGGCCCCCTTTCCTATCCAATTCCCAGATGATCAACTCCCAAATCTCTTCCCCTATTTATTCTACACCTAAACACACTTAATTAATAGTATAATAATTATAAGAATTATCCACCAACTCTCCTAATAATTTAATAACTGTTACAGTAACTAAAGAGTCTAACAGATTGGTTTCAATCAATCATTTTAGTTAGTGGGAAGAAACAAGTAACCAATATATCATGTAACATAGAAAAATAAGATTTAACAAGTAAAAAAGTTGAGTTATGATTTGAGAAGAGGTTGAACTATGCTTCCTTTGAAACTTCTTAGTTATTTAGTGATGCTTCGTGGTGCTGCAATACTAAAGGGCAAAAACAACCTATTATAAATTTCAGCAACATTAGTAAATAGAATGGTATTAACATTCTCTTATTCGTATAGTCCATTTTACTATTGCTAAAATAAGTTCATTCACTTTATGGTTCTAAATCTTATGTCTGAGCATTTAGGTTTCTTCAATGTGTCAATTAACTAAACTATCATATTAGCAACTTGAGTTCCATCCATTAAATTTAAACGGTTCCACTACTTCATGAATTGGATATATTCTAAGTTTATCAAACCCAATAAATATATAGCAACAAACTTGCAAGTGCTAAAAATGCAAAAACAGCACTAGACCATCACATTGGCACATAACTAGGTCATATTAAAACTTCACATAATCCGACACATGATTTAGCTCATAGTGAGCAGGATAGGATACACGAGCAATGAACTTAGGTACAAACCCACTACAATAATGAGTGAAAGATAAACAACCTATGTGGAAATAACCAATAGAACAAGTGATCTCTCAACCACCTGTGTTTCAAGGTGATGCAACACTTTGCTTTAGTCTTCACTGGGATAGAAATGAAGAAATCTAACAAATGAGAGCGCGTAGTGTGCTTGACCCGAACTAGCCTTAAGACCACTATTATTTCTTCAAACTAAGACTAATCCCCCAATTATCACACAACAATTCAAGCTAGGGAGACTAGATAACTCTCACTTCTAACTTCTAAGTTATGTTATAAGAGGCCAAGGAAAATTGTAGACCAAACCTTGCCAGAGATTTGATTTAAACTGTGTATCATCAGACATGGTTTATTATAACATAATATTGCATTGTTTAATCCATGTAGTCAACCCCACCTAGTGACAAGATGCTTTTTTTTTTTTTGTTGCTGTTGTTGTTGTTGTCTGCTTTTGATGTTGGTCATTCTCCTTCCTAGTAAATTTGTCATCTTATGTGTCACTATAGATAACCATGTTGTTGTTGGGGAGCTGTTGGAATCAAAAGCCAGTCAGCATGTTGACATGAACACACCAAAATCAGTTCCAGTAGATGTAAGCTACCCTGATTCAGAAACTTCTCAAGTTACAGGAGGTTACAGCATAGGTTTCTCCTTGACTGTGTTACAGGTAATCTATATCCAAGGGTCATTCAGTTGCAAGATATTTAATAATAGAATTTGAGGACATATCTATGTTCTAGGATACGAACCTAATGTTGACATGCATAAAGTTTTCATTATTGAATAATAAATAGAAGTTGTATTGTAGTACACTTATATTTTCCTCTATTCCTTAAATAAATCAAATGCTGTCAATTGCCAACTTTTCTCAAAGAAATTTGTTAATAGAATTTAAAGACATAACTGTACGTATTTTAATATGCTAAGACATTATTAGTGTCTCTGTCTAGGATACACACCCTGTGTTGATATGCATGAATTTTTGGTTATTGAATATAGACAGAAGTACACTTATATTTTCTCTCTACTTTAAATAAATCAAATACGGTCAACCTTTCGGTTATGTTTTATTTGGTTATATTAAAGGATAATTTTGTTATTGATTGGAATGTAATGTTTGTAGCATCTTGTATTGTCGTGTTTCACTTGCCCATTTGTGATACACAGTTTATTTTAAGTTAATGGCAAAGGAATCTAGTTTAAACGAAACTGACAGGGCCTGGTTTATATTGTTTAATCTGTGTAAACATGGAGAAACTGTGTTATGGAGAAAAGTTATCCTAAATTATGTACTCAGAATGTGCATGTTGGTTGTAATCCCTTTTATTTTTTTCTTTCAGCTTATAATATCTTTTCATCCTTTATTTTTATATACTAAAGGATAATTTTGTTATTGATTGGAATGTAATGTTTGTAGCATCCTGTATTGTCGTGTTTCACTTGCCCATTTGTGATACGCAGTTTATTTTAAGTTAATGGCAAAGGAATCTAGTTTATACGAAACTGACAAGGCCTGGTTTATATTGTTTAATCTGTGTAAACATGGAGAAAATGTATTATGGAGGAAAGTTATCCTAAATTATGTACTCAGAATGTGCATGTTGGTTGTAATCCCTTATATTTTTTCTTTCAGCTTATAATATCTTTTCATCCTTTATTTTTATAGAGTGAATGCCAACAACTTATATGTGAAATTCTGCGGGCTACTCCAGAAGCTGCATCTGCTGATGCTGCTGTGCAAACAGCTAGACTTGCAAACAAAACCCCTTCGAAAGCGAAAAGGCAAGTGAGTTGTAGAAGGTGTTTGGATTAGCTTTTTCTTCATTAAACGTGCGTTTTTTTTTTTTTTGACTTCCACCGCGGAAAAGCTGAAGCTACTAATTGTAGCTTCTATCAAAAGTGCGTCTTTTTTTTTGGTTTCCACCGTGAATCCAAATAGGCTAGTATTTGTTTTGCTCTTTAGTACAACATTCTAAGTTGCATGGATATGAGTACGGGATACGTAAGTTTAAGAAAAAACAAAGGTACAAGTACATTACAAATATATAATGAAATGTCTTTCTTAACTATAATATTTTACCAACAAAAATACAAGAAAGCGTCTTTCATAATTTACTGTATGAAAAATCATAACATGATTTAATATTAAAAATTAGGATAAAAAAGATGATATTTACATGATAGATACAGATAAAAAGATGAGTCAGGTTCGCAACTGTCGGGAGAAAATAGTTAAGAAATTTTAATTTTCTATGCCAATACAATATTTATCTCTCAAGTCAAAATTGTATCATTTAATTGATGATTAATGTTTCTTATTGATTACAGGGATGAATCAGAAAATGGTCTCACCTTTGCATTTCGTTTTACTGATGCTACAATATCTCTTCCTAATCAAGGTATGATAAATTCTATTAAATTGAAGGAGTGGAGTTAAACTTTTCTGCTTATACATTTTAAAATCATGTTGCTGTTGGAATACATTGGACGCAGTTAAGATATGTTTGAAATTTTGTTGAACCTTGCATAACTCGTGAAAATTGCTCACATAAGAATTTCTAATAAAAGAGTAAAGGTAAACTTATATGCGTTTGGATTTCAACCAATAGGAGAGCGTGTGATGGGAAATTGGGAATAGTGTGTGGCTAGCATAGAAAAAGAACCGGTGGGCCACTTTATGTAGTATATTAGATACCAGTGTTATCAAATAGCAGCGCCATGACCGCTATGGCGGATATACATGGTGGTTTTTGGCTTTGCTGCAATGGTAAATATCGGCAGATATTGCGGGGTTTTCCGCCCTAATCCGCTATAACGGCGCGGGATTTTGGCTCTCCGCCATGGGCCACCATCTGCCATGGACAACACTGTTAGATACTGACACTGCATATCTGGTAGCTGTTGCTGTGCTGATAATATCATCCTTTTACTTGATTCTTTATAATTTATTATCTACTAACTAGTAGCTTTACTTGATTCTGGACAATATCTTACTGCTGAACATATTACTTGATTCTTTCTAATTTCTTTTCCCAATTACAACATTTATTGCTGGTTGTGTTAATATTCAGGAGTTGATATTGTTCGCCAAGGATGGAATAGGAAGGGTCCCAATGTGCTGCAGGAAGGTTATGGTTCTGCGGCGGTTTTACCTGAGGAGGGCATATATTTAGCAGCATCAATATATCGACCTGTGCTACAGGTGTTGCTTCTCGGACTACTATATACCTCCTGTAAAGTTTTGATCATGTTCAACATGTTTTGTTCCTGACCTGATTCTTTGTGCAGTTCACAGATAAAGTTGCTTCAATGCTACCAACAAAGTATTCTCAACTTAGGTAAACATTGCACTGAAATGAACGAAAAGGAATGGGTTATTCATTTTTTATTCCCCTTTTACTCAGTTAAAAAAATATTTTCTTTGTACAATCTAGAAAATAAATACTGTTTAAAATTTATCAATCGGATGCTAGATTTACATTTTGTGAAGCACATGAAGTGTAATAATAATAATACTAACAAAAATACAGTAAGTCACAAGATAAAAGTACAAAAAGTCAAAAACTTGTATGTTTATAAAATCCCAATATCGATGTAAAGTAAAAGACGTCAAAAACATTTCTAGTTTGGTAGTCGGTTTTTCTTTAACCTCACGATTTCAATAACAAAATAAAAATAAAAGAGAAGTGGGCTCAACCCCCAATTTAATAACGTTAATCCTATACCCAGTGTTCAGCCATTGACAAGGATAAAATTACGCGTCTTTCAGCTCTGCAGTTGTTTGCCAGCATTGGCAGAGAAAGTCATCAGTCCCAGCTGTACAACAAGCACAACGTTCTTGTGCTACATGACACTCTTCATTTCATTTTACTGGGATGAAACAGTAGTTATAAATTATAAAAGTATGTCCAGATGTGATTATATCCCATTCTATCCAAATTGGGGGGAATGAAAAATAGTGGCTTAATGAAATTGAATGGAATAGATACCCTTAAATTTCATTCAACCGATCCTTAGTTTAAAAACCAAAACAATGGAAAATAACTCATATCCAATCCTTGAGTCTAGTCTATCTCATAGCATTAATTGAACCATACTCTTTAGATCGGAGGCTGTGAATAGTGTGACATTTGACTTACCTAATCTGTGTAAAATACGAAGCATTTACGTCTATGCTATACATAGTAAGGAATACAAGGAAACATAATGAAAATGTAAGCTATAAGTTTGATTGCTTGTCACTCTTGTCAACTAGTTTCTGTTCAACTATATATGGTTTTGGCTCTTCATAATTGTATAATATATATTTTTGGTACAATCTCTTATTGATTCCTAAAAAATAGCAAAACTTCTTTGCACACTCAATTTCTGTGGCTTTTCTAGCTCATTAATATTAGCTTATGGTGTTGTCGACTTTGTGATTTGCAGCAATGACGGGTTGCTAGCTTTTGTGGAGAATTTTGTAAAGGATCACTTTTTACCAACTATGTTTGTGGACTACCGAAAAGGCGTACAACAAGCCATATCAAGCAAGTCTCTTAAACTGTTTTGGCTATTTCTTTTAGTATCTCTTATTTTAAAATCCCTGCTTGGCGCTCAATCTGATCTTTTTTGAACCTTAATTTGTTTTGAAACATTTGAGTAAAGAATTTTGAAGTTAGCTTTGTCTGAAATGTTCGATGCAAAGTCCCATTCTTAATCGTTGGTCTTACTGACAAGTACTTGAGTGATGATTACCGCTCACCCCAAAACACAACGGTCTGAAGTAAATTTGGTTTCCATGAAAATTTATTTATCATAGTTTAGAGTAGTTGGTACTATGGGAGGTAAGTAACTTTTAAGTTGTACTGGCGAAAGTTCTGGGAGTCAGTAACCCAAGACTCATTCCCTCACTAAGGTATCCTTTCCTTACAGTTCGATCAAAAGCCACAGAAAACAGAGTATGCATTTCTGTATTTTTGGAGTGTTTCAATTGTTAGAGTTGTTCATAGTGTTCATATTCTTGAAACTGTACCCGCTCATACACGTTTACTCATTGGGATTTTAAATATAGGATCAATTTGTAAATTTGTATGATCACTGTGCATAACATTTACAGAACAATTCAATCTGCAATATATAAGCTAAAGAAGCTGCACCAACATGATGCGAAAGCATAGCTTATTAGGCTTATGGCCATATAATGCACTGGAAAAATATTATAATTTTGGGTCAATAATTATTCTATTGTATTGAAAAATGGAAGTGAATGTTGTTGTTCTCTTCATACAAATTTTTAGGTCCGGCTGCATTTCGTCCAAGAGCACATGTGGTCACTACTTATACCCCGTCAATTGAGAAGGGTCGACCTGTATTACAAGGATTATTGGCTATTGATTACTTGACTAAGGAGGTAAATTTTAGCTTCTATAATAATCTCAATACGATCCGTCAGGTTCAATTATATTTTTTTACTTTTCTATATTGAACACAAGATGATATAATCCCTGGACTAGTAATTATTGGAGTTTAGACATTATTCCATTCACTATACTTGACATTTAGTTTTGTTTGATAGTTAAAAAACATAGTTGTTTTCCCTTTGAGATTTTTGCAACAAATTACTGCAGGTGCTTGGCTGGGCACAAGCAATGCCGAAATTTGCTAATGATCTTGTGAACTATGTGCAAACTTTTCTGGAGAGGACATATGAAAGATGCCGGACTTCGTACATGGAGGTATTTTGTTTTTTGGATAAATAACTTCCGATAAATAAAAACAGGAAATATAGATTGCCAAATCCTTAAGATACCTGAAAAAGTCATTTATTTGAAGCAACCCTTGGTTAAGCACCATAACTACTATGCATGGACACAATATGAGTATCTGATACGATACGGTGATACAACATTTTTGAAAAATAGGATATGATATCTTTAAGATACGTGTATATAAAAAATATATACAAAAAATAGAAGTATATTATTTTAATTCAAAATTTCCCAAGTAAATGGGTAAAGGCCATTTTTGAAAAATAGGATATGATATCTTTAAGATACGTGTATATAAAAAAATAAATACAAAAAATAGAAGTATATCATTTTAATTCAAAATTTCCCAAGTAAATGGGTAAAGGCCCAGAGACTTTGTGAAGGATATTATGCACATGAAGGGTTCAATTTAATAGGTGGGTGATAATTATCAGAAGATTGACTGAGTGGGTAAGTTTGAATGATTCAATCATTGAGAGAGAGTAGGCATGATACATGTATCTGAGATGAATGGGTTATGCCATAATTGTTGTGGTGATTATTGAGACTCAATTCAGATAGATTGAGCGATATATGCATCTCAGCAGGGGACATGTAAATTCATGAAGAAGCGTCTCAGCCGTGTTGCTGCCATACTGGTGGCCATTTATGCAAATCGGTGCATCATAGACCATAAAGAAGCACATAATGTACATGACTTAGTTTCTTGCTGCTGCTTCAGTCCTTTTATTTATTAATTCAATAAAGTTTCAGCAAAAAGTATATAGACAACATGTGCTATTGCTGCTGATGGACCTGTTGATTACTCCATGGGCCACTTAGATGCCTTGGTGGTTGACATTCCTATAAATAGTTTCCTTGATGGACCGTTTTTTGATATTTTTGTTAATTATATTTCAGGCTGTTCTTGAAAAGCAGAGCTACATGCTTATTGGGAGGCATGATATTGAGAAATTGATGAGACTTGACCCCTCCAGTGCATATTTACCAAATCTGCAAGATCCTTTTAATTTAGAAAGCAATTCCTATGACGCTGAAACAATTGAGGCTGAAGTAGAACTAAGCGAATTATTGCTAAACTTGCGTCTTATTAAACAGGTTTTCATATCTGTTTATGCTTATGAGTTACTATGCTTCATTATTGATATATTTTTCTTATTTTTGAGTGTTTAATAGTACTGACCTATAATTATTAAGGTTTTGATTTTATGCATTCTTGCTAAAATCCCACGCCTCTCACTTATTTATTATGCTTCTCCTGTAACTTAATTGTATTTTTTTTCTTTTTCAGGAAAACCTAATCCACGATGAAAATAAACTTATTCTGTTGGCATCCCTTAGTGACTCATTGGAGTATGTTGCAGACTCTATTGAAAGGTGTGTTTCCTATATGCTCATGCTGTGCAGTCTTGTTATGTTGCATTACATACATACTACTGTATATAAAGAGAGTAAAAACGTGATACTGCCAGAATTGCAATTCAGATTGTAGAGTTCATGACTCTTTAAGTTGCAGGCCGTGGAACAATTGTATCCCTATCCCCCTGAAAGAAACTTGTTTTGATGGGATTTCGTAAGATCAGTAGAATGTGTGCAAGACCACCAATCATTCACAAATCATAATGTTTGAGTATTGAGAATCTGATGGTGTGAGGGAAAAAATAAAACTCATTGGAGTTTCCCACCTAGCAATCACTCATCATTGGTTCTTCCCAAGTGTGTGAATCTATTTGCATGAGATTCCCTTGGGTGAGACTTGTTTTGTGCTCGTCTTCTTAGGTCTATGTTTCCCTTGGGTTAGATTGGTCCATGCAACTCTGCTCTGCTTGCTATGTTTCCCACCTAGCAATCACTCATCATTGGTTCTTCCCAAGTGTGTGAATCTATCTGCATGAGATTCCCTTGGGTGAGACTTGTTTTGTGCTCGTCTTCTTAGGTCTATGTTTCCCTTGGGTTAGATTGGTCCATGCAACTCTGCTTGCTGTGAGTCTATAACCCATATCAGTGGTCTCTGTGCCGACTGGTTTAGTTTGACAGTGTCGGAGTTGTTTGTGAGGGTTGGGTGATAGACTTGGATTTGAGCTAGGACTTTGAGCTGTTTCTTTTGTTCGGTTACCCTGCTTTGGATTTATTGGGACCTTTAGGGTTTTATCACGCCCTCATGATGTGAGCTCTGTTAACAAATTGACATTAGGATCATGATCAATTTGAATTGCTTTATAGATTAACCCTTTATAGAGATTACCAAAGTATATATCTATCTAAATAGATTACTATAGGGTTACAAACAGCATCCCTTGATTATATCTATAAGAACAAAAGCCCCTATCTATCTAATTATGATTACAATTGGGAAGATATACAAAAGTAAATTAGGGAAGAGATCTCCACATTATTAATATTATTACGTTAATTTGTTGTATTTTATGTGTTTGTGTATATTATGCGTGTATTCTTCAGTACAATTTATATTGTAGGTAAAATCTAGTTGTGTTACAATCTCCCTCAGATTTTACATATGTGTATCTCCCTTATTGGGTGGCAGAATCAATAACTTTAACGACAAACCTTGTATGGTTTTTGAGGAATATAGCAGAGCAGAGTGCTTATAATAATGTAGGGCAAATATCCAAGAGTGCTCCTCTTTGTAGGGTACTCTCCTGATAAACCTTGCGTACTCTTCTAGGACAGTATTCTTCGACTAAAACTTGTGTATCATATACGGCCCTATAAATGAGGTTATTGTATATCTTAAAATCATCTGAAAGTTTTTGGTAAAGGTCTTCTAGTTAAAGGTATAGTGTCAGGAAAACAAATGCTCAATAAAATTTTATTGATATATTTTTTTCCTCCTATCTTTTTCCTCCTTATTTCTTTCCTCCTTATTTCTCTCTTACCATGATTACCACATCCACTATCTCTTTCCTCCTTATTTCTCTTTCCTTCCCTCCCGGCCCCACTTGCTTCCTTCTCCTGCTTTGCTCTTGAGGCCTATTACTCCCTTTTTCTCATTCTCCATCTGACTTTCCTTTCTTCCCTCTCCTGTTATACACCTTCATGATGAGCCTATCATAAGTCTAATTAAAGTGGAAACAAACTTTGACACATAAGGAAATATTGAAACCATCCTAATAGATGATCGAAATTACCCTAAGATTTAATGAGATATTTTCATATCTTTTAACATTAATGGTACTGACGTCCCAATGATGTTGGTGAGCAGTACAGTGTTGGGTTTGGGTTTTTGGTTCATAAAAAATTCTTGTGAAAATTGGCAGGCTTGGACAGACTACTCAAAGAGCATCAAATCATATTGGAGGAAAGCATCATAGTCATTCAGACAGTGCACCTACAAGGAGTCTAGCATCATTTTCTCAAGATTATAGGAAATTAGCAATCGATTGCCTTAAGGTTTTACGTATAGAAATGCAGTTGGAGACAATATTTCATATGCAGGTTTGTCTAATGTGGTGTTATTTTTATCAGGTTGTTGAAGGAATAAGAATTTGATAATTTAATTGTCGCCAAACTTAAACGAGAAACACTATTTTGTGCAGGAAATGACAAATACGGAATACGTAGATGACCAAGATGCTGAAGAACCAGATGACTTTGTCATTTCTCTCACCGCACAGGTGTGTCTTTCTTTCTTTGTACGTTATCTTTGTAAAGATTCCTAGTTGGATCCTTCGTAAAGATTATACTCCGGCTCCGCACATACGCAGAACTTGTGACATCCCTTTCTATATTAGAGAGCTTAGGACGAATTATATTATTAATGGAAGCTTAAAATATAAACTTCGGTTAGAGGCATAGATCACCTAATTTGGCTGCAACACCTTCCATAATCCAACCTAGTTCATAAACTGGTGCTTTTAATTTCAGCCTCTATCCAGGTCCAATTCGTAGATTGGGGTTTCACAATCTGCAGTTTTACTTGACCAGCTTGTCTGAAAATTGACCCTTGGCCATGTAGGTTATTCCAGCACAATACTTACACTCTAGATGTCTCGCTGATTTTTTGAGATTGAGTTAGGACAAAACCGTAGGTGGGTATCAGAGCCTGGCTTTAGGTGTCTTGAGAACTCGGTTATTCTATCCACACAAGTCCCACTTTACATGTCCAGTCTTGAGCATGAAGCAAAGTGTCAAGAGTTCCACATTGACTAAAAATTTGGTCTAATTAATGCATACACTACTTTGGCAGTCATCATCTTACAAGTTAAGTGTAAGTATTTGCATTCACATCGAGATCTGCTGAGCCCCTTTTTCAATCTAAATATTATACTACTTTTTGGTTGAGAAGAAGCTAAATCTATTTGGATTATTGACTAATTTAGATCGGTGTATGATGATCAGAAGTTAATTAGATCGACGTAATTTTTGAAATAGCTTTCTGAATTTATTGATGATTTGATGTAATATTGATATTAATGTGGTTGTTGAATTAGATTGTGGTCTGGTCAAGCTATTAATTAAAAGGCAATACTATTTTGAGGGCATTTATAAGATCTCATTTGTATGTGTATTTAAAAGATATTTTCAGAATTTTCCAAGAATAGTGCATATATAGAGCTTATGCACAGTTCCATCATTTTTATTTTTATTTTTATGGCAGACATAGCTTATTCTTAAATATGTACTATATGACCATCGTTTAATTATGCTATTTATTCAAATGCTCTCTTAGAAACTTTGGATTATAGATAAAATTAACCAAAGGAATCATGCTCAGGAGGATTTGATTGTACATGTGATAAAGACAATTGTATTTTTGGTGAATGAATTTATAAATGTGATCAGTGATCGCTATTATTGAAAAAGCTTTACAATATGCAGACTTTGCGAAATTGTCCTGTGAGGTTTTCATTGTGAGATTCTATAGGATTAGACTTCTAATACTAAACCAAAAAGCACCATACACTCATCAAAATAAGACCAGAATACTAATATGAATGTTAAAGTCAAACTAAATTGTAAATTGTAATAGCATCTTAGTAAACTTACCAGTCAAACGATTCCAAGTTATCTGATTTGATAAAAACAATGTAATGCTTCTATCAACCCCGATATTGAAAGTAAACAGCCAATAGCCAAAATGATGAATTTCAAAAAGTTGGATCTTCCTGTTTAGTGATTCAGATGTATGATAAGCTTATGTAAGTCTGACTATTTTTGTTTACTATTTTAATGAAATCTCCAGATAACTCGAAGAGATGAGGAAATGGCCCCTTTTATTTCAAATGCAAAGCGGAATTACATATTTGGTGGAATTTGTGGGGTTGCAGCAATTGTGTCTGTTAAGGTGCGAGTGTATACACTTCTTTACAGTTTTGTTTTTATAGAAAGACTTTTAATTCTTTATGTTCGAAGGTGTACTTTCCTTTTCTTCACTGCTAACAAGGGGCCCTTTTGCTTACAGGCTTTGGCGGATATGAAGTCTATCAATCTTTTTGGTGTTCAGCAAATATGTCGAAACTCTATTGCATTGGAACAGGTAACTAATGTGTATGTGCATAGGAGATGTATCGAGTGAGAGGGCCATTTATATGTCTGTAAGACTTTGTTTTGAATGGGGTTTGGGAATGGAGGGGAAGGGAGGGTTTATGATAAGATCTCTCTTTATGAGCGGTGATTAATGTTCGAGCTTGCTCCATCCGTTTGTTAGTAATCCTGTAAACTTGGCAAGGCCTCTGCTTGACGGGGAGCATAGCAACATGGAGACACTTGGAAGGGAGCTTGTTGTAAAATGAAATTTGGAGTTGTGAAAGTTTCCCTTAAGTTGAAAGTTAAGTTAATATAAGTGTGGATACCCATGTATCTGAAAGCTTATAAGTTTTTGGTTAGGGCCTGATATCATCCAGTTCTGTGTTTGCCCCCTTCAGCGCATTGATTAGAGTTCCTTCCTGTTCGCCCTTTTGGGCTCCTTCTCATCATCCTTTTCTTATACATCCAAAACAAGTTGAGACTGCCCTACCCTCTGCTCTGAACCCCAAATACAACCTAAGGATTTGATTTTAACCACTAGATCCAACCAAGAATGGTTTAGATTAAATTATTTTGACCATATGCCATGGTTGTATGTGTTAAGAGTCCCACATTGAATTAGATATGACCTGAACATATGTTTATAAGTGAAACAATCCTCTTCTTACAAGCCGGTTTTGTAAGATTAAGTTAGGTCCAACCCAAATTTTAAGATGGTATCAGTCTTCTCAAAATCCGCGAGGCCATCCGTAATTTGGTTTCCACTATCGGGCCACCCACCATTTATATCCTTGCATCAAGTCCATTAGTGTTGGGCATGAGAGTGTGTGCTAAGATTCCCACATCGAATGACATAATATTCTGAACATATGTTTATAAGTGGAGGAAATCCTTACCTTACAACTTACAAGCTTACAAGTTGGTTTCATAAGATTGAGTTAGCTTGTTTTGTAAGTTTGAGTTATGTCCAAACCAAATTCTAAGGGTAATGTTTATTAGATACTTTCCTTATTCTCATTGAAAAGCTAATCTAACTAGATACACCCGTGTGTGGATTTTGCCTGTTGCATATAATTTTGAATAATTTAACAATATTAGGAATAAATTGGAGATAAAAAAGTGCTTGCTAAAAATTGGAGATATAATTTTACAGGCATTGGCTGCTATTCCATCCATAAACAGTGAAGTAGTGCAACAAAGATTGGATCGAGTCCGAACCTACTATGAACTCTTAAACATGCCATTTGAGGTAAGTCAACTGAAGTAACTGCTGTGTTTTATGTAATTTTTATCAAGTCATCTTATCTTGGTATTCCTATTCCTGTCACAGGCCTTGCTTGCCTTCATTACAGAACATGTACACTTGTTTACTGCTGCAGAGTGAGTTAATACACAAATTTTAGTTGTTAATACTTAATACCCTTTTATGGATTTGCTCAAAAAAAAAAAAACCTTTTATGGATTTGCTCAAAAAAAAAAACCCTTTTATGGAATGATATTGACATTATATTCCCACAGGTACGCCAACCTTCTGAATGTTCTCGTCCCTGGTAGGGAGATTCCTTCCGATGCACATGAACGAGTGTCTGAAGTCTTATCCTTGTAGTGTGTTCCATGTTAATATGCCAGAGCTTGTTTTGGACAATTGGGGTGCTCGTGTTAATTAGATTTCTAATTCTTGCTTCTGAAAAATGATGATGCAACAAGCCGGTGCAGATGCTCAATTTTAACCCAAGTTTCAACCGATTAGACTGCTACCAATTGAAGTATGGCTAGATTATGCCCTTGATGACGGCAATAACATTCACACTCCCACCCATCCATTTGTTTGTAATGTAATTATAATGTGATGACAATTTTGGTTGTTGCTGTTTTCGTTTTGTGATCTCTGGTTTTGATCACTGGTGTGTTGAAAAAGTTCATTCAAGTATATATCATGAAATATCTAAAATCAACTGTTTTTTGTGCTATTTATAATTTCCTTTCTACAAAAATGTGGCACAGTACTATCATTGAAAGTGAAACTTGGTGTGCACCCTGGTCATTATTGGTCTGATTTGGAAATTCTTAACTGATTTTAAAAAAAATAAAAATAAAATCTTAACTTATTAATCCTCTTTCACCCCAGGCATTTATACTACTTAACATTGTTTTCATATTACAGTCATCATCTTAATCACATACTTACATCTAGTCTCGTGTGCGGCTTGAAATAGTGAAGACTTTAATAATTTTTTTATCAAGTGATGACAAATAAAGGGTTATGATAGTTAATTTGCATAGGCATACATAGCAACAAAACTTGATCTTTTGAGTCTCGTCTAAATATGACTGAAATCGACGGGGAAGATCTGCTTTAAGTTAGTGCTGGTGTGGCGTGTTTCCATTATTCAAAGTTGCGAGCTTAATAAATTACTCGACTAAGCCTAACTTGTTTACTTGTTTTTTATTTTCTGTATACTAATACATATTCCAATTCACTTTATATAGATATTATTAGAATTTAATTTAAAAATTTAGTTACTCATAATTTAATGATTATGATTATGATTAATTGATATATGTATATATATTCAAACCAATTTAAATAAAAATTGCAAATCAATTTAAAAAATAAAAAATCACAATTAAAATTTATTGAATGTGTTTGGATGTCATTTTATGAAAACTATTCGATTTAGATTTCAGATTAATTTTTCAAAATCGATCCAAAATCGAATTGAACCTGTTCTGGACTGAACCTGCTCTTGGTCCAACTCCATATGAGGTCCAACCCAACTATGCTGTTTGAGGCCTGTTGACCGAATCTGCCCTCGTTTATGTTGGGCAGTAACCCCCACTCTTTGAGAAGACGCACCCTCGCCACACGGGGATAAATCCAAGGAATGCGAGGAGGACCATCGTTAGTTAAGAGGACTTCGAGAGCATCCTCCAGTCTTCTCCTCGACCAAGACTAATCCTCTCAGACGACCTCATAGCTGGCGGGGAGAATGCACGACAGGTAGAAGTGCCTCACGAGCATCCTCCTCGTAGGGATGACTCTCAACACCTCAGAATATCACAGAGTCCTCTTGGCCTCGAAAAAAGACTGTATCCATATCCTTTGGATAACACGGAGGAATCCATCCAAGTGGGGGACCACGTGTTAGTCCCTACTACTCACGTAGAACCTAATAGTCTCCACTTTGGGCTTGCTTGCCCAACCCAACGATGGAAACCTTGATCCAGCGCTGGGAACTATAAATACCCTCTCACTTGAGAGAGTCAGATATTAAATCTCTTCTTACTCACTCTCATACTTGATTGCATCATTTCGAATCTCACTTTGGCATCAAAATATCTTGCAGGTTTCCCCATCTCACTTTTAACTCGCAAGCTCGTGGGCTGTGAAGATCCATTCTGGTCAGGTACAATCAGTGGCGTCGTCTGTGAGAACTCTTGCTTCACCGTCTTTCATTTACCTAAGACTAAAGCAACTCTCTAAATTTTGTTGATTGTCATGGTCGACCCAGCTACATAAAACAACCTAGATGCCAATCTTGCCGATCTCAACAATAGCGTTGGCGACAACAGCGCCGACAACAACAACACCGACAATAACAACGCTGGTAACAATAATACCGGCCACGTCGTCGACATGCCTAGTCCCTCACAAAACTATAGAGACGGATTGACCGCCTCTTCGTCGTCCCTGTCCCGACGACACGAAGACGATCACCGTCCCCCCCTGAATATCATCCGAAGGCGTTCCAGGAGGTCCCCGTCCCTGCAGGCGCTGATGCTACGACATGGGCTATGTCCGCGACCATTAACCAAATAAATTACTCAATCTTCTTGCAAGGTGAGCGATTAAGGGTGCTCGAGGATTTCCGTAGAGCCCCTAGAAGACACAGGAGACCTAACTCTCCTCCTCCTCGTCAGATAGAGGAACATTTCCAATCTCCTCCGCAGAGACGCAGACGGGATGCCTCCCGAAGCCCCTCTCCCCGACGAACTTGGAGGTGCCATGTGTTGGAGAGGAATCAACCCGTTGATACAGGGAGACGCGACCAGGTCCCCACGCGCCAAGAACGATGACCCTTTGGAAACAGAAACAGGGGAAATGAAGAACCACGACCCCGGCCACGGGATCCTCCCCGCGACCAGGGTCGCCACCACGACCGCCATTACAATAGGTCACCTTTTCGCTCTCCAGATAGAAGCGACGAAGACGACCCCCGCGGTCCCTTATCCCAGGAAATTATGGAGTCGCCCATTCCCCCAAGAATGGAGAAACCTTCCCAAATGAAGGAACACGATAGCATCGCGGGTCCATTCGACCATATCGACGGGTTTGAGACAATGCTATATTACCATAACATCGGGGGACCGATTAAATGTCGGTTGTTCCCCACAACCTTGAGAAAATTGCGATGTACTGGTACAATAACCTCGCCCCAGGGCCAATCATCTTCTAGAGAAACATGAAGAACCAGTTCATCAGCTCCTTCACAGCCTCTCGTCGACATCTGAAGACTGAGGCCGCTCTCGAGGCTATCGTCCAAAGAAGCGACGAGACCCTCAGGGAGTTCATAGATCAGTTCAACCGTTTTGTAATCTAAAATTTTTCCTCCCATTTTTCTCAAGACATTCTTTCAAGGCTCCTCAAAAACTCAAGACACTCAAGGGTTGACCAGTCAGATGCTCCTCCTAAGCCCAAAGGTCTACAACTAGGGTTTTGAGTTTCTCAAGGAAATTTGGGTTGTAAAAGTCTCAAGTGGCTTCCATGGTTCTTCATAGGTCCTCAACAACGTTCATGTCAAGTTTCAAGCCCTACATCACAAGTTTTCTCAGTCAATGACTCAAATGATTGAAAATCAACTGTATTGGTCAAAAAGTCAACTATGGTCAATATACAGTCAAACTTTAAGATTTTTGGTCAACATCAACATTTTGAAGTGATATTCATCATTTGATCAAGGGTTGATCATGATTCCCCAAGGAAAGCTCTCAAATCATCAAAAGTCAAGATTTGTCAAATTAGGGTTTCCTTAGGAGAAGTCAACTGAACTTTGACCAGGCATAACTTTTACATGATTCATCAACTTTTCCCCAACCAAAGACCATTTTGAAGAAAATTCAATTCCCATACAACTTTTCTTTTATTCTCAAGTCCAAAAGATGCTTCATTTGGAAGATATAAGCTCACACATTATATGTCATTTTCAAAAGTCAACAAAAGACACTTTTTTCAAGGCAACTTACATCAAGATAATGTCTTCAAATTAAAAAATGATCAACATATATATTTTAGAGGACATCTCGAGCTTTCAAAAAGTCCAAGATAATCTTCAAAAGTTGAAAATTGAGCAAGTTATGAGTTGCACAAGTTGGGCAATTTTTAAGAAATGCATGAAATGTTAAATGTGCAAATTTGAAATTTTGGGCTTGTGACCTAAATTTTTGGACTTAAAATATGTCCATGACCTTGCAAAAGACTCCTAAACTCACTCTTAATTTGTCTTGTATTTTCTTATTATTTTATTTATATTTATTTTGTTTTTATTCAAATAAATGTAAAATAAATTAAATACAATCACAAAAATCATGGGCTATGCATATGGGCTGGATTTGATCCACTTTGGAGCCCATTATTTCTTGAAAGGTACATCACAAATATCCAGGTTCATGCAGCATCAAGAAAGGGCAAGAATTACTCATTTTTGGCAAGCTTTGAATGTGTTTTATTCTTGTCTCAAAGGCCATCATGGCTTGGTTTACCTTCCATATTTATCTACTCCTCTCTTCTCTCTATATATAGCACTGCAAGGCAGGCCAAAGGGAGCACAAAATTCCTCTTCAAAAATTTCTCCAAAAGCTCTTCACAAAGCTCTACCGAATTCTCAAAAATTCCTCAAAATTTCCAAAATTCGCAAATGCTTTTCCAGGCACAATCAATCCAAACCAGTGATCAAACCTTACTCCTGAGATCCCCAGGAGTCTCTCCAGATCCAGGAACACGTCCAATCGTGCTTAGAAGGCCATTCACGAACTCACCGGTGGTAAAATTTTTGTTCATTTTTGTATAATCGGTTGCAGGTCTATTTAACACTTTTTTGTGATACAGTTGCATTCATATTAGAGAACATGACATGAACAAGTGATCGCATGATGTTTTGGACGTTAGAATCATGCTCATCATGCGCTCTCATATCAACATGGTCAGATCTAGATCCAGCAATCCCGATCTGAGCACCCACGATAGGCCTCACGGGAGTGATGCACAGGATCCTAAAGATTTTTCCTCCAGCGCCTGGGCCAATGTTGTTGGGCCAATTGATTTCTGATTCTCACACCCCCTAATTACTTGTTTTGAAGTTTGACCCAATTTATTTATTTTTTGTTTTTTTTCTTTTATTATTTGTTTTTTTTTACTTTAATTATTTCTTCTTTAAACAAAAAACAAAAAACAAATCATAAAATCATAAAATCACAAAAATATTAGACTTAGATTTGTATTAATTAAAATTAATTTTATTTAATTATTTAATCATTTTTTGATTAATTAAATTAATTAGAATTAGGTTTTCTTTAATTTAATTTAATCATTTTTTCCTAAAACAAAAA